CACACATAGACGTAAGAACATTTCAATCAGAAAGAGCAGACACACATAGAGGTAAGTGAACATTTCAATCAGAAAGAGCAGACACACATAGACGTAAGTGAACATTTCAACCAGAAAGAGCAGACACACATAGATGTAAGTGAACATTTTAATCAGAAAGAGCAGACACACATAGATGTAAGTGAGCTTTTCAACCAGAAAGAGCGGACACACAGAAAAAAGTGTATATTTTAATCAGAAAGAACAGATACACATAGATATAAGTGAGCTTTTCAACCAGAAAGAGCGGACACACATAGACGTAAGTGAACATTTCAATCAGAAAGAGCAGACACACATAAATGTAAGTGAGCTTTTCAACCAGAAAGAGCGGACACACATAGAGGTAAGTGAACATTTCAATCAGAAAGAGCAGACACACATAGACGTAAGTGAACATTTCAACCAGAAAGAGCAGACACACATAGATGTAAGTGAGCTTTTCAATCAGAAAGAGCAGACACACATAGATATAAGTGAGCTTTTCAACCAGAAAGAGCAGACACACAGAAAAAAGTGAATATTTTAATCAGAAAGAACAGATACACATAGATATAAGTGAGCTTTTCAACCAGAAAGAGCAGACACACATAGACGTAAGTGAACATTTCAATCAGAAAGAGCAGACACACATAGATGTAAGTGAGCTTTTCAACCAGAAAGAGCGGACACACAGAAAAAAGTGAATATTTTTATCAGAAAGAACAGATACACATAGAATTAAGTGAGCATTTCAATTAGAAAGAACAGCCACACACAGAAATAAGTGAATATTTCAATCAGAAAGAACAGACACATATTCAGGTAAGTGAAAATCGTGGATGGCTCAAGCAGAAGACACAATAAGACAAGTATGTATGCTGGAGAACATTGGGCGAGTAGAGGAGTGGGTCAGGGTACCAGAGAAAAAGTCTGACATGTGTAGGGTTATGATCATATTGAGAGTGGCCAGCGAGTGCTACGAAGATGAAAGTCCAACAGTTGATTCATGACAATTCACGTCCAGGTGATCTGATTATCTATACAGGTGGTTCGGTGGTGAGTAGAAAGAGAAGTGCATGGGAGTTTGTAGCAAAAGCCAGTGGAAAATCTTTAGTGCAAGACAGCCATATTAAAGTGTCAGCTGATGAAGTTTGAACACATAGAATGAAGCCATGCAGGTAATTCTGCGATGTACAAGAGATACCCCGGTAGTATGTATGCGATATATACTTGCACTGTTTACTATTAAAGATAGGCTCAGAATGCTACAAGCTAAAGCACATCTCAGAGTAGCTGTAGATAAAAAACACATCCTGCATGAAGATCTAAGGGTCACTGACTGAAAAGAGGAAGGTCTTGGATGGCACAAGCTGAAGACACAATTAGACATGTGTGTAGGCTTGATAACACTGGGCGGGAGAGGAGTGGGTCAGAAAGTCCGAGCAAAAGTAAAACTTGAGTTGGGTTTTGATCACACTGGAAACTGGCCAGCAGGCGCTGCAGAATCATAAGTTTGATGAATGATTCATGACAATTCTCACCCAGTTGATACAATAATCTATACAGATGGCTCTGTGTTGAGACAAAGTGCATGGGAGTTCATGTATGTCGCTTAGTGTAACAAAGCCTGGCATATGAAACCATAATATCTAGTTTAGGAATGGAAGTGGAGACAGTCACTGCAGCCTTTTACTGGTTTGAGAATCAGCTGTGCACACATGTGGTAACTGTAACTGACTGACAGAGCATGTTGAGGAAGGTAGAGACCAGAATACTCTGTGAGAATGGCAAACATCTCTTCAGAGATCTTGGATAGCGTCCTTAGGAAATTTTCCCCAGGAAATGCTGGTGTATTAGGAAACAAATATGCAGATAGACAGGCTCGTCCTGCATAATTTAGTGGTGAACTGATGCACGACAGACTGTTTGTTTATTTTAGTAGCCAGAAGCCATGAATTGTTAACCCTTAGGCTCGGTATTATAGATATCGCAACCTTTCGGATGTGATTCCATTGTAAATACCGTAAATCTGGGAGAAAATGTGGCTTTTCTGCCTACCCTGGGGAGTGAACCCGGACCACAAGGAGTTCGTCACCCAGTCACGGCGCAATCCGCTTTAGCCAACTACGCTAGAGAACCGGGCACATGACAGGCTAGATGATGTAGCGGCTCTCTGGGGTGAGTGAACAGTGCTGAAGCACAGATGTACCATCATGGTCTGAATAGTACGGAAGCACAGATGTACCATCATGGTCTGAACAGTGCGGAAGCACAGATGTACCATCATGGTTTGAACAGTGCGGAAGCACAGATGTATCATCATGGTCTGAACAGTGCGGAAGCACAGATGTACCATCATGGTCTGAACAGTGTGGAAGCACAGATGTACCATCATGGTCTGAACAGTGCGCAAGCACAGATGTACTATCATGGTCTGAACAGTGCGGAAGCACAGATGTACCATCATGGTTTGAACAGTGCGGAAGCACAGATGTATCATCATGGTCTGAACAGTGCGGAAGCACAGATGTACCATCATGGTCTGAACAGTGTGGAAGCACAGATGTACCATCATGGTCTGAACAGTGCGCAAGCACAGATGTACTATCATGGTCTGAACAGTGCGGAAGCACAGATGTACCATCATGGTCTGAATAGTGAGCAAGCACAGATGTACCATCATGGTCTGAACAGTGCGGAAGCACAGATGTACCATCATGGTCTGAACAGTGCTGAAGCACAGATGTACCATCATGGTCTGAACAGTGCGGAAGCACAGATGTACCATCATGGTCTGAACAGTGCGGAAGCACAGATGTACCATCATGGTCTGAATAGTGCGGGAGCACAGATGTACCATCATGGTCTAAACAGAATGGTACTGGGAGGACTGACCGGGAGATCTAGTCGATGATAAGCACTCAAGGGAAAGGTGAGATAGATATATAATCCTATTCACACCACTGAAACTGGAATTCTGGGCTTGCTGCTGAAGATGGTAATGGAACGCTTATAGGAATGTACCGAGTGCTGTGATGTCGAACCTTAATTAAACATTAAACCACCTGGCTGTTTTGGCCTACTCAACATCAAGCTGTTTAGTCTCTCGCCACCTGGCTGTTTAGTCTTACTCAACATCAAGCTGTTTAGTCTCTCGCCACCTGGCTGTTTAGTCTCTCACACCAACTGGCTGTTTAGTCTCTCGCCACCTGACTGTTTAGTCTCTCACACCAACTGGCTGTTTGGTCTCTCGCCACCTGACTGTTTAGTCTCTCACACCAACTGGCTGTTTAGTCTATGTCGCCACCTTGCAGTTTAGTCACTGTCACCACCTGGTTGTTCATTCTCTTTTACCACCTGGCTGTTGAGTCTCTCTAACCAACTGGCTGTTTAGACTCTCTCACCACCTAGCTGTTTATTCTCTCTTACTACCTGGCTGTTTATTCTCTCTCACCACCTGGCTGTTTAGTCTCTCTCACCAACTGGCTGTTTAGTCTGTGTCATTACCTGGCTGTTTTAGTCTCTCCAACCAATTGGCTGTTTGGTCTCCGGCACCACCTGCCTGTTTAGTGTATATCACCACCTGGCTGTTAAGTCACTCTCACCTAATGGCTGAATATTCTCTCTCTCTGAGCAGAAAAAAATAGCTAAATACACAATAGACCTACAATCAGGATGCACAAGAGCAATCAACTTACATACTGACAGTACGAGGACACACAAGAGCAATCAACTTACATACTGGCGGTACGAGGACACACAAGAGCAATCAACTTACATACTGGCGGTACGAGGACACAAGAGCAATCAACTTACCTACTGACAGTACGAGGACACACAAGAGCAATCAACTTACATACTGGCAGTACGAGGACACAGAAGAGCAATCAACTTACATACTGGCAGTTCGAGGACACACAAGAGCAATCAACTTACATACTGGCAGTACGAGGACACACTAGAGCAATCAACTTACCTACTGACAGTACGAGGACACACAAGAGCAATCAACTTACATACTGGCAGTACGAGGACACACAAGAGCAATCAACTTACATACTGGCGGTACGAGGACACACAAGACCAATCAACTTACATACTGGCAGTACGAGGACACATAAGAGCAATCAACTTACATACTGGCAGTACGAGGACACACAAGAGCAATCAACTTACATACTGGCGGTACGAGGACACACAAGACCAATCAACTTACATACTGGCGGTACGAGGACACACAAGAGCAATCAACTTACATACTGGCAGTACGAGGACACACAAGAGCAATCAACTTACATACTGGCAGTACGAGGACACATAAGAGCAATCAACTTACATACTGCGGTACGAGGACAGACAAGAGCAATCAACTTATATACTGGCAGTACGAGGACACACAAGAGCAATCAACTTACATACTGACAGTACGAGAACACACAAGAGCAATCAACTTACATACTGGCAGTACGAGGACACACAAGAGCAATCAACTTACATACTGGCAGTACGAGGACACACAAGAGCAATCAACTTACATACTGGCGGTACGAGGACACACAAGAGCAATCAACTTACCTACTGACAGTACGAGGACACACAAGAGCAATCAACTTACATACTGGCAGTACGAGGACACACAAGAGCAATCAACTTACATACTGGCAGTACGAGGACACACGAGAGCAATCAACTTACATACTGGCAGTACGAGGACACACAAGAGCAATCAACATACATACTGGCAGTACGAGGACACATAAGAGCAATCAACTTACATACTGGCAGTACGATGACTTAGAAGAGCAATCAACTTACATTCTGACAGTAAAATGATGAACAATAGCAATCAATTTACGTACTGGCAGAATAAGGATACACTAGAGCAATCAACTTACATACTGGTAGTATAAGGATGCACTAGAGCAATTAACTTACATACTATCAATTCGAGGACACACAAGAGCAATCAACTTACATACTGGCAGTATGAGGACACACAAAAGCAATCAACTCACAGATTGGCAGTACAAGGATGTACAAGAGCAATCGTCTCAATGGGATTCGCGTCAGTGACTGCTGCTGCACAATCCTGTGGAACATGAACAGAGAATGTCTGTAGAATATACATGAACAGAGAATGTCTGTAGAATATACATGAACAGAGAATGTCTGCAGTAAGCAAATGAACAGAGAATGTCTGCAGTTAGCACATGAACAGAGAATGTCTGCAGTTAGCACATGAAGAGAGAATGTTTGCAGTAAGCACATGCACAGAGCATGTCTGTAGTAAGCACATGAACAGAGAATGTATGTAGTAAGCACACGAACAGAGCATGTCTGTAGTAAACTCATGAACAGAGAATGTCTGTAGTAAGCACATGAACAGAGAATGTCTGTAGTAAGCACATGATGAGAGAATGTCTGTAGTAAGCACATGAACAGAGAATATTTTTAGTAAATACATGAACAGAGATTTTTGTAGTAAGCGCATGAACAGAGAATGTCTGTAGTTAGTACATATAACAGAGAATATTTGTAGTAAATACATGAACAGAGAATTTTTGTAGTAGGCACATGAACAGAGAATGTCTGTAGTAAGCACATAAACAGAGCTTATTTTTAGTAAATATATGAACAGAGAATGTCTGTAGTAGGTATAGGAACAAGATCAATAGTAAGCATACCAATATACAAGATTTGTAGTAAGTATATTAACAGACAAGATTTGTCCTTAAGTACATGTGAGAATTAATTATTGTTATTTATGTGTTGAATATTTATGTTTTAAAAGTTGATGTTTTGATACGCATTGATGTACAGAGTGTTAATGTCTGGTTATGGTGTGATGAAGTCAGTGTGTGTGATTATTGCTGCTCTAGTTATTGCTTGTGTGTGTGGCCATACGCAGACGATCATCTCCCCTGGTGGTGGACATGACTTACATGGCTGGTACTGTAGCAGAAATGAACATCATGTCTGGTAAGCCGACCATCTGCGTTGATTGTCTCTGTACTTGACTTCTGATATGTGGGATTAGCGTAGGTCAGGGCAGAAAACTCTTCCACATTGTAGTGACGCCTGCGATGTCTGTAAGAAACACACTTATAACACTAAACCTAATAGCATACTGCCATCAAATGGCCAGAAACATAATGACATACACCAATCTAACACTAAACATAATGACTAACTCCCATCTAAAACCAAACATAATGACTTACTCCCATCTAAAACCAAACATAATGACCCGTCCCATTTAACACTAAACATAATTGCATACTCTCATCAACCACTAAAGCAAAAGACTGTTATCAAACAACCACTTGAGACAATGGTAAACTTCTATTCAGAAACTACAAGAACAGTAAAATCTGCAGCCTAATCAAATTCAAACAGCAGTATCAAGAGATGCTCAAGCTAGTCATTTTTAGAATGAGCATTGAGAAAACTGCTGTAATACCTGCTCTTTCAAATACCTCAGCATTTGATCTTGTCTTGCCATTTAATTCCAAGTATTCTTGCTAGGCATAGCATGTGAAAGCTTTTTAGCTGTCTCTCCTGGTGCAATAAGTTGACTAAGTTAGTTAGTTAGTCTTTCCTCTTGTGTCGAGTGCGGCACATAGGGCAGAGGTCATGACTCTCCATGCATGGCGGTTCGTTGCAATCTGTTGTAGGTCTTGGATATTTGAGTGGCCCATGAGCGAGCCTTCCCTGATGATAGTTCTACGTAGAGTTTCCCTTGGTCTTCCACGAGATCTTTTCCCCTGTGGTGTCCAAATGAGGGCTTGGTAAGGAAGTCTTGATTTATCCATTCTAAGGGCGTGGCCGACATAGTTCCAGCGGTGTTTTCGTATAAAATTAGACACATACTCTTGCCTGGATTCTTGCCTTATTTGTGTATTGGTTCGGAAATCTGACAATTTGAAATTTAGTATTCTTCTAAGGCATTTATTTTCAAATTTGTCTAATTTTGTGTCTAGAGTTTTTGTTGATTTCCAGCTCTCGCATCCATATGACCAAGTTACACTGCCATAAAGCAGAGTGCTGTGAACACAAGCCTCATAGACAAGTTTTTGTTTTAATTGTAAGCTTTCTGCCCTACCAAATTCTTTTTGTTTATCTGCTCATTGTTGTTGCTGCCTTACCTATCCTGATGTTGATTTTTTGATCCAGTGATATTTTTTTATTCACTGTGGAACTCAGATATGTGAAAAAGCCATCTCTCTCCAGCTCTTCACTGTCAATGTAGACTGCTCGTCTATCATTAACAACTTGCACCCTAACCTTCGTCTTCTTTGTGCTGACTGTTAGTCTAAATTGAAAGCATGCATCAGCAAAGGCAGATAGTAAACATTGCAACTCCTCCTCTAGTGTGTAGAAATTTCTGCATCATCTGCAAACTCTGATAGGTACCTTTCTTATCCTGGTTTTAGCTTCCAGCCCACGAGCACTGTTAACGCTGCTGTCAGCTCAAGAGTTAATGAAAATATCACCCTGCTAATCTCAAGAGGCAGCCTTAACCATACATACGACTATAATTGCATAGTCAGTTCTAATCATATACATGACTGATGCTATAGTCAGCCCTATCATATACATGACTGATGCTATAGTCAGCCCTAATCATATACATGACTGATGCTATAGTCAGCCCTAATCATATACATGACTGATGCTATAGTCAGCCCTAATCATATACATGACTGATGCTATAGTCAGCCCTATCATATACATGACTGACGCTATAGTCAGCCCTAATCATATACATGACTGATGCTACAGTCAGCCCTAATCATATACATGACTGATGCTATAGTCAGCCCTAATCATACTTGACTGATGCTATAGTCAGCCCTAATTATATACATGACTGATGCTATAGTCAGCCCTAATCATACATGACTGATGCTATAGTCAGCCCTATCATATACATGACTGATGCTATAGTCAGCCCTATCATATACATGACTGATGCTACAGTCAGCCCTAATCATATACATGACTGATGCTATAGTCAGCCCTAATCATACATGACTGATGCTACAGTCCGCCCTAATCATATACATGACTGATGCTATAGTCAGCCCTAATCATATACATGACTGATGCTACAGTCAGCCCTAATCATATACATTACTGATGCTACAGTCAGCCCTAATCATACATGACTGATGCTACAGTCAGCCCTAATCATATACATGACTGATGCTATAGTCAGCCCTAATCATATACATGACTGATGTTATAGTCAGCCCTAATCATACATGACTGATGCTAGAGTCAGCCCTATCATCTACATGACTGATGCTACAGTCAGCCCTATAATATACATGACTGATGCTACAGTCAGCCCTAATCATACATGACTGATGCTATAGTCAGCCCTAATCATATACATGACTGATGCTATAGTCAGCCCTAATCATACATGACTGATGCTATAGTCAGCCCTATCATATACATGACTGATGCTATAGTCAGCCCTATCATATACATGACTGATGCTACAGTCAGCCCTAATCATATACATGACTGATGCTATAGTCAGCCCTAATCATACATGACTGATGCTACAGTCCGCCCTAATCATATACATGACTGATGCTATAGTCAGCCCTAATCATATACATGACTGATGCTACAGTCAGCCCTAATCATATACATGACTGATGCTACAGTCAGCCCTAATCATTATACATGACTGATGCTACAGTCAGCCCTATCATATACATGACTGATGCTACAGTCAGCTCTATCATATACATGACTGATGCTACAGTCAGCCCTAATCATATACATGACTGATGCTATAGTCAGCCCTAATCATATACATGACTGATGTTTTAGTCAGCCCTAATCATACATGACTGATGCTACAGTCAGCCCTAATCATATACATGACTGATGCTATAGTCAGCCCTAATCATACACATGAATGATGTTATAGTCAGCCCTAATCATAAACATGACTGATGCTACAGTCAGCCCTATCATATACATGACTGATGCTACAGTCAGCCCTATCATATACATGACTGATGCTACAGTCAGCTCTATCATATACATGACTGATGCTATAGTCAGCCCTAATCATATACATGACTGATGCTATAGTCAGCCCTAATCATATACATGACTGATGTTTTAGTCAGCCCTATCATAAACATGACTGATGCTACAGTCAGCCCTAATCATATACACGACTGATGCTATAGTCAGCCCTAATCATACATGACTGATGCTATAGTCAGCCCTAATCATATATACATGACTGATGCTACAGTCAGCCCTAATCATATACATGACTGATGCTATAGTCAGCCCTAATCATATACATGACTGATTATTTAGTCAGTCCTATCATATACATGACTGATGCTACAGTCAGCCCTAATCATTTACATGACTGATGCTATAGGCAGCCCTAATAATACATGACTGATGCTACAGTCAGCCCTAATCATACATGACTGATGCTACAGTCAGCCCTAATCATATACATGACTGATGCTACAGTCAGCCCTAATCATACATGACTGATGCTATAGTCAGCCCTAATCATACATGACTGATGCTACAGTCAGCCCTAATCATACATGACTGATGCTACAGTCAGCCCTAATCATATACATGACTGATGCTATAGTCAGCCCTAATCATACATGACTGATGCTATAGTCAGCCCTAATCATATATACATGACTGATGCTACAGTCAGCCCTAATCATATACATGACTGATGCTATAGTCAGCCCTAATCATATACATGACTGATTATTTAGTCAGCCCTATCATATACATGACTGATGCTACAGTCAGCCCTAATCATTTACATGACTGATGCTATAGGCAGCCCTAATCATACATGACTGATGCTACAGTCAGCCCTAATAATATATATGACTGATGCTACAGTCAGCCCTAATCATACATGACTGATGCTACAGCCAGCCCTAATCATATACATGACTGATGCTACAGTCAGCCCTAATCATATACATGACTGATGCTACAGTCAGCCCTAATCATATACATGACTGATGCTACAGTCAGCCCTAATCATAACATGACTGATGCTACAGTCAGCCCTAATCATACATGACTGATGCTACAGTCAGCCCTAATCATACATGACTGATGCTATAGTCAGCCCTAATCATATACATGAATGATGCTACAGTCAGCCCTATCATATACATGACTGATGCTATAGTCAGCCCTATCATATACATGACTGATGATATAGTCAGCCCTATCATATACATGACTGATGCTATAGTCAGCCCTAATCATACATGACTGATGCTACAGCCAGCCCTAATCATATACATGACTGATGCTACAGTCAGCTCTAATCATATACATGACTGATAATATAGTCAGCCCTAATCATATACATGACTGATGCTATAGTCAGCCCTAATCATATACATTACTGATGCTACAGTCAGCCCTAATCATATACATGACTGATGCTATAGTCAGCCCTAATCATATACATGACTGATGCTATAGTCAGCCCTAATCATATATATGACTGATGCTATAGTCAGCCCTATCATATACATGATTGATGCTATAGTCAGCCCTATCATATACGACTGATCCTATAGTCAGCCCTATCATATACATGACTGATGCTATAGTCAGCCCTAATCATATACATGACTGATGCTATAGTCAGCGGTAATCATATACATGACTGATGCTATAGTCAGCCCTAATCATATACATGACTGATGCTATAGTCAGCCCTATCAAATACATGACTGATGCTATAGTCAGCCCTATCATAAACATGACTTATGCTATAGTCAGCCCTAATCATTCATGATGTTAATCCTACAGTCAGCCCTAGTCATACATGACTGTAATCCTACAGTCAGCCCTAATCATACATGACTGTAATCCTACAGTCAGCCCTAATCATACATGACTGTAATCCTACAGTCAGTCCTAATCATACTTGACTGTAATCCTACAGTCAGCCCTAATCATACATGACTGTTTTCCAACAGTCAGCCCTAATCATACATGACTGTAATCCTACTGTCAGCCCTAATCATACATGACTGTAATAATCCTACTGTCAGCCCTAATCATACATGACTGCAATCCTACAGTCAGCCCTAATCATACATGACTGTAATCCTACAGTCAGCCCTAATCATACATGACTGTAATTATACAGTCAGCCCTAATCATACATGACTGTAATCCTACAGTCAGCCCTAATCATACATGACTGTAATCCTACAGTCAGCCCTAATCATACATGACTGTAATCCTACAGTCAGCCCTAATAATACATGACTGTAATTCTACAGTCAGCCCTAATAATACATGACTGTAATCCTACAGTCAGCCCTAATAATACATGACTGTAATCCTACAGTCAGCCATAATCAAACAATGACCTTAATCTTAAACTCAGCACTAATCATACACATGACTCTAATCCTTCAGTCAGCTCTAATAAAACAATTACCATAATCAAACAATGACCATATTCCTACAGTCAACCCTAATCCTACACCATTTGCACACAGCTGACACACACCTGCAACACTGACACACACCTGCACACAGCTGACACACCACCTGTACACAGCTGACACACACCTGCAACACTGACACACACCTGCACACAGCTGACACACCACCTGTACACAGCTGACACACACCTGCAATACTGACACACATCTGCACACAGCTGACACACACATGCAACACTGACACACCACCTGCACACAGCTGACACACACCTGCAACACTGACACAGCATCTGCAACACTGACACACACCTGCAACACCACCTTCACACAGCTTACACACACCTGCAATACTGACACACACCTGCACACAGCTGACACACACCTGCAACACTGACACACCATCTGCACACAGATGACACACACCTGCAACACTGACACCCCACCTGCATACAGCTGACACACCACCTGCACACAGCTGACACACCACCTGCACACAGCTGACACACCACCTGCACACAGCTGACACACACCTGCAACACTGACACACACCTGCACACAGCTGACACACACCTGCACACAGCTGAAACACACTTGCAACACTGACACAGCACCTGCAACACTGACCTCTTCCATAAGACAGCAGCAATTGCAGAGATCAACAACAAAACACTCAAAGTCACAGCAACCACAATGTATGCACTTGTCTGTTGCTGGCGTTCACCATCTCTGTCTGTAATAGAATCAGGAAGTGAACACAACAAAACATAATACTTATCCTAAACAAGCCTTATGGTACCACATATAACTCAACACAGTACCACAGACAAATCAACATACTGTCACAGATAAGTCAACAAATTATTGCAGACAAGATAGCACAGTGCCAGAGACAAATCAACATATTGCCACAGTTAAGTCCACATAGTGCCACAGAAAAGTCAACATAGTGCCACAGATAAGTCAACAAATTATTGCAGACAAGATAGCACAGTGCCAGAGACAAGTCAACAAAGTATCGCAGACAAGCCAACATAGTGCCACAGAAAAGTTAACACAGTGCCACTTAAAAGTCAACACAGAACCACAGACAAGCCTTCAAACAGTACTACAGACATAGTTTAACATAGTGCCACAGACAAGTCAACACAGTACCACAAACAAGTCAAAATAGTATTACAGACATCAACATAGTATCACAGACAAGTCAGCACAGTATCACAGTATCACAGACAAGTCAACACAGTACCACAGACAAGTCAACACAGTACCACAGACAAGTCAACACAGTACCACAGACAAGTCAACACAGTACCACAGAGAAGTCAACATTGTAACACAGACAAGTCAACACAGTACCACAGAGAAGTCAACACAGTATCACAGACAAGTCAACACAGTACCACAAAGTCAACAAAGTACCACAGACAAGTCAACATAGTATCACAGACAAGTCAACACAGTACCACAGAGAAGTCAACACAGTACCACAGACAAGTCAACACAGTACCACAGACAAGTCAACACAGTACCACAGACAAGTCAACATAGTATCACAGACAAGTCAACACAGTACCACAGAGTAGTCAACATAGTATCACAGACAAGTCAACACAGTACCACAGAGAAGTCAACACAGTACCACAGACAAGTCAACACAGTACCACAGACAAGTCAACACAGTACCACAGACAAGTCAACATAGTATCACAGACAAGTCGACACAGTACCACAGAGTAGTCAACATAGTATCACAGACAAGTCAACACAGTACCACAGAGAAGTCAACATAGTATCACAGACAAGTCAACACAGTACCACAGAGAAGTCAACATAGTATCATAGACAAGTCAACACAGTACCACAGAGAAGTCAACACAGTGCCACAGACAAGTCAACACATTATCACAGACAAGTCAGCAAAGTACCAAAGACAAGTCAACACAGTACCACAGAGAAGTCAACATAGTATCACAGACAAGTCAACACAGTACCACAGAGAAGTCAACATAGTATCATAGACAAGTCAACACAGTACCACAGAGAAGTCAACACAGTACCACAGACAAGTCAACACATTATCACAGACAAGTCAGCAAAGTACCAAAGAAAAGTCAACACAGTACCACAGACAGGTCATCACAGTTACAGACAATTTAACATAGTATCACAGACAAGTTAACAAAGTATCACAGACAAGTCAACACAGTAACACAGACAAGTCAACATAGTATCACAGATAAGTCAACAAAGAAACATAGACAAGGTAACATATTATCACAGACAAGTCAGCACAGTGCCAGAGCGGTCAACAAAAAATCACAGACAAGCCAACAAAGTAGCAATGATAAGTCAACACAGTACTACAGATAAGTCAACACAGTACCACAATGGAAATCCAAGAAAAGACAAGGTAGTGAAACCAAAATAATGCAGACAATGTGTAAATACAAACTCAGACAAGAGAAGGAATTGAAACCAACATAATGCAGACAACTGTGTTAATACAAACTCAGACAAGAGAAGGAAGACAAACCAACATAATGCAGACAATGTGTGAATACAAACTCAGACAAGACAAAGAAGTGAAACCAATATAATGCATACACAGTGTATAAACAAACTCAGACAGGTCAAGGAATGTTGAATTAAGAATAGACATCACAGCAGTCGGGACACTTCCATAAGTCCGCAGTCCCCATCTTCAGCAGAAAGCGAAGAGTTCCAATTCTGCTTGTACCAGTAACCTTCTGATTGTATTTCCATCCCATCCTCTCTCTACGTGTTGAGCATGAGCCAGATCCTCTGGTAACTACTCACAGCGCTATTCTCCTCAGACCGTAATGATCTATCTGCGCCTCTGCATTGTTCACTCGTTTCTAAAAAGCCCACACAATATCTAACTTGTCATAAATCAGTTCACCACCAAGTGATGCAAAGCCTGCCAGTCTATTTGTCTATTCATTTCCCAACATATCAGTATGACCTGGAAAAAATATCCAAAGAATGTTAACTACCTGGCACCTCTAAAGTGATGCTTGCCACTTTGCACGAACAGATCAAGGAAGACAAACCAAAATAAAGCAGATAACTGTGTGAATACAAACTCAGACAAGAAAACTGTTTGAATACAAACTCAGACAAGACAAGGAAGTGAAACAATGCAGACAACTGTGCAAATATAAACTCAGACAGGACAAGGAAGTGATTTCAACATAATGCAGACAGCTGTGTGAATACAAACTCAGAATAGAAAACTGTGTGAATACAAACTCAGACAGGACAAGGAAGTGAAACAAACAAACTGGGACAAGTCAAGACAAGTCAAGGAAGACAAACAAACCAGGACAAGTCAAGTCAATTCAAGGAAGACAAACAAACTGGGACAAGACAAGTCAAGACAAGAAAGTAAAACAAACAAACTGGGACAAGACAAGACAAGGAAGTAAAACAAATAAACTTGGACAAGACAAGACAAGGAAGTAAAACAAACAAACTGGGACAATTTAAGACAAGACAAGGAAGTAAAACAAACAAACTGGGACAAGACAAGACAAGGAAGTAAAACAAACAAACTGGGACAATTTAAGACAAGACAAGGAAGTAAAACAAACAAACTGGGACAAGACAAGACAAGGAAGTAAAACAAACAACTGGGACAAGTCAAGACAAGACAAGGAAGTAAAACAAACAAACTGGGACAAGACCTGGAAGTAAAACAAACAAACTGGGACAAGACAAGACAAGGAAGTAAAACAAACAAATGCAGACAACAAACTTAACTTCTGGAGTTTGCTTTGACTGGACATCTCCACACATGCCAACAGATTTATCTTCATCAGAGCACCTGCCATTGATAAACACAACACAATAATAATATGTCAATGACAAACACAACATAATAATAATAATATGTCAATGACAAACACAAAACAATAATAATATGTCAATGAAAAACACAACATAATAGTAATATGTCAATGACAAACACAACACAATAATAATATGTCAATGACAAACACAACATAATAATAATAATATGTCAATGACAAACACAACACAATAATAATATGTCAATGAAAAACACAACATAATAGTAATATGTCAATGACAAACACAACATAATAGTAATATGTCAATGACAAACACAACACAATAATAATATGTCAATGTCAAACACAACACAATAGTAATATGTCAATGACAAACACAACATAATAGTAATATGTCAATGACAAACACAACATAATAGTAATATGTCAATGACAAACACAACATAATAGTAATATGTCAATGACAAACACAACTTAATAGTGATATGTCAATGACAAACACAACATAATAGTAATATGTCAATGACAAACACAACACAATAGTAATATGTCAATGACAAACACAACACAATAGTAATATGTCAATGATAAACACAACATAATAGTAATATGTCAATGACAAATACAATACAACAGTAATATGTCAATGACAAACACAACATAATAGTAATATGTCAATGATAAACACAACATAATAGTAATATGTCAATGATAAACACAACATAATAGTAATATGTCAATGATAAACACAACATAATAGTAATATGTCAATGACAAACACAACATAATAGTAATATGTCAATGACAAACACAACATAATAGTAATATGTCAATGACAAACACAACATAATAGTAATATGTCAATGATAAACACAACACAATAGTAATATGTCAATGATAAACACAACACAATAGTAATATGTCAATGACAAACACAACACAATAGTAATATGTCAATGACAAACACAACACAATAGTAATATGTCAATGATAAACACAACATAATAGTAATATGTCAATGACAAACACAACATAATAGTAATATGTCAAGTCAATGATAAACACAACATAATAGTAATATGTCAATGACAAACACAATACAATAGTAATATGGCAATGACAAACACAACATAATAGTAATATGTCAATGACAAACACAACATAATAGTAATATGCCAATGACAAATATAACACAATAGTAATATGTCAATGACAAACACAACATAATAGTAATATGTCAATGACAAACACAACTTAATAGTAATATGTCAATGACAAACACAACACAATAGTAATATGTCAATGACAAACTCAACATAATAGTAATATGTCAATGACAAAAACAACATAATAGTAATATGTCAATGACAAACACAACACAATAGTAATATGTCAATGACAAACACAACACAATAGTAATATGTCAATGATAAACACAACATAATAGTAATATGTCAATGACAAATACAACACAACGGTAATATGTCAATGACAAACACAACATAATAGTAATATGTCAATGATAAACACAACATAATAGTAATATGTCAATGACGAACACAACATAATAGTAATATGTCAATAACAAACACAACATAATAGTAATATGTCAATGACAAACACAACATAATAGTAATATGTCAATGACAAACACAACACAATAGTAATATGTCAATGACAAACTCAACATAATAGTAATATGTCAATGACAAACACAACATAATAGTAATATGTCAATGACAAACACAACACAATAGTAATATGTCAATGACAAACACAACACAATAGTAATATGTCAATGATAAACACAACATAATAGTAATATGTCAATGACAAATACAACACAACAGTAATATGTCAATGACAAACACAACATAATAGTAATATGTCAATGATAAACACAACATAATAGTAATATGTCAATGACAAACACAACATAATAGTAATATGTCAATGACAAACACAACATAAAAGTAATATGTCAATGACAAACACAACATAATAGTAATATGTCAATGATAAACACAACACAATAGTAATATGTCAATGATAAACACAACACAATAGTAATATGTCAATGACAAACACAACACAATAGTAATATGTCAATGACAAACACAACACAATAGTAATATGTCAATGATAAACACAACATAATAGTAATATGTCAATGACAAACACAACATAATAGTAATATGTCAAGTCAATGATAAACACAACATAATAGTAATATGTCAATGACAAACACAACACAATAGTAATATGGCAATGACAAACACAACATAATAGTAATATGTCAATGACAAACACAACATAATAGTAATATGTCAATGACAAATACAACACAATAGTAATATGTCAATGACAAACACAACATAATAGTAATATGTCAATGACAAACACAACTTAATAGTAATATGTCAATGACAAACACAACAAAATAAGTAATATGTCAATGACAAACTCAACATAATAGTAATATGTCAATGACAAACACAACATAATAGTAATATGTCAATGACAAACACAACACAATAGTAATATGTCAATGATAAACACAACATAATAGTAATATGTCAATGACAAACACAACATAGTAGTAATATGTCACGTCAATGATAAACACAACATAATAGTAATATGTCAATGACAAACACAACACAATAGTAATATGGCAATGACAAACACAACATAATAGTAATATGTCAATGACAAACACAACATAATAGTAATATGTCAATGACAAATACAACACAATAGTAATATGTCAATGACAAACACAACATAATAGTAATATGTCAATGACAAACACAACTTAATAGTAATATGTCAATGACAAACACAACAAAATAAGTAATATGTCAATGACAAACTCAACATAATAGTAATATGTCAATGACAAACACAACATAATAGTAATATGTCAATGACAAACACAACACAATAGTAATATGTCAATGACAAACACAACACAATAGTAATATGTCAATGATAAACACAACATAATAGTAATATGTCAATGACAAATACAACACAACAGTAATATGTCAATGACAAACACAACATAATAGTAATATGTCAATGATAAACACAACATAATAGTAATATGTCAATGACAAACACAACATGATAGTAATATGTCAATAACAAACACAACCTAATAGTAATATGTCAATGACAAACACAACATAATAGTAATATGTCAATGACAAACACAACACAATAGTAATATGGCAATGACAAACACAACACAATAGTAATATGTCAATGACAAACACAACATAATAGTAATATGTCAATGACAAACACAACACAATAGTAATATGTCAATGACAAACACAACACAATAGTAATATGTCAATGATAAACACAACATAATAGTAATATGTCAATGACAAATACAACACAATAGTAATATGTCAATGACAAACACAACATAATAGTAATATGTCAATGATAAACACAACATAATAGTAATATGTCAATGACAAACACAACATAATAGTAATATGTCAATGATAAACACAACATAATAGTAATATGTTAATGACAAACACAATATAATAGTAATATGTCAATGACAAACACATGTTCAATAACGTGTCACTGTTAAACATAGGTTCAAAATACATTGATTACCTTTTTGACAGACAGGTTTAAAAATCTGTAACTGATAAACAGGGGTTCAGTTATCTGACACTGGTAAACACAGGCTCAGTTATCTGACACTGGTAAACACAGGCTCAGTTGTCTGACACTGGTAAACACAGGCTCAGTTATCTGACACTGGTAAACACAGGCTCAGTTGTCTGACACTGGTAAACACAGGCTCAGTTGTCTGACACTGGTAAACACAGGCTCAGTTGTCTGACACTGGTAAACAAGGGCTCAGTTATCTGACACTGGTAAACACAGGCTCAGTTGTCTGACACTGGTAAACACAGGCTCAGTTATCTGACACTGGTAAACAAGGGCTGTTGTAAAAACACAGGCTCAGTTATCTGACACTGGTAAACACAGGCTCAGTTATCTGACACTGGTAAACACAGGCTCAGTTGTCTGACACTGGTAAACACAGGCTCAGTTATCTGACACTGGTAAACACAGGCTCAGTTGTCTGACACTGGTAAACACAGGCTCAGTTATCTGACACTGGTAAACACAGGTTCAGTTATCTGACACTGGTAAACACAGGCTCAGTTGTCTGACACTGGTAAACACAGGTTCAGTTATCTGACACTGGTAAACACAGGTTTAATTATCTGTCACTGGTAAACACAGGCTCAGTTATCTGACACTGGTAAACACAGGTTTAATTATCTGTCACTGGTAAACACAGGCTCAGTTATCTGACACTGGTAAACACAGGCTCAGTTATCTGACACTGGTAAACACAGGCTCAGTTGTCTGAGACTGGTAAACACAGGCTCAGTTGTCTGAGACTGGTAAACAAGGGCTCAGTTATCTGAGACTGGTAAACAAGGGCTCAGTTATCTGAGACTGGTAAACAAGGGCTCAGTTATCTGAGAATGGTAAACACAGGCTCAGTTATCTGACACTGGTAAACAAGGGCTCAGTTATCTGAGAATGGTAAACACAGGCTCAGTTGTCTGAGACTGGTAAACACAGGCTCAGTTGTCTGACAATGGTAAACACAGGCTCAGTTATCTGACACTGGTAAACAGGC